CGTGTTAGAGTGTGGTATAAGATCCAGCAGAACCTTCTCCCAACAACTCGAGTTATTGGGAGCAACTGGTTCTTGACATGGTATCAGAGCAAACCTCGATCCATTAGGGTTTTCGCCTTTCATCCGTTTTCAACAGGCGAGAGTCAGTAGCATCCTTGTTGCACAGAGATCGCAGTTCAGCTGTCGTCCAAGTCTCGTCGCCGCTCGGACCTCTCTTCCTAAGCGCGTCTCTATCCAGTCAATGTTGTCGCCGCATCTGCGCAAGTCCGCCATCGTCCTGGTCAGCAGCCGATCAGGAGTTACAGAAGTCATCGCCCCCGCTGCCATCCAAAGCGGTCCTGATATTGATGTTGTTCGTGGTGTTCTTCTTGGTCACGCTAGCGCTGTTCGCCTCCGTTTCCAGCAACGGCGCTGATTCACATTAGTTTTGAATCTCCGTTGCAACCATGAGGCCATTGAGTTCGCCGAGTACCGAATTTCTTCGACAGAATCAATCAATCGTCAATAACCGTTGTTATTTACCGCTGATCTCCCAAATCGGTTGAGCAGTCCAGCTCTTCACACCTACTGTCGCCCTAGGCCAGGTCGAGTCCACCGTGGTTCATCATTCACGGCTGCCATCATCAGGAGAGCAGATGGTTATTCCGATTTGGGAGTCCTACTACAACTTTGTCTCCGTCGCTGTGGATCAGTTTGGGGAGACAGGATGGCAGCTAGCTTGCAGTTCGTTCGTCTTCGGTATCCGTATTGGCTAATTGGGTTCGTCATTGCTCAATCTCTTCGGATTCCAGTCCATGCGGTACCATTGTCGATCGCAGTCCGCACCATCGTCGCCGTCAGACACGGCCGTCGTTGCCTAAGTGTAGCCTCTACCTTTGTCTCCCGTCAGTCGCCGTCGCTCCTTGCCATTGTCAGTCCTTTGTTGCTGCCTGCCGCTCAGCTTGTCACAGTTGTAGTAGTAAGGGGGCCAGCAGCAATTCAAAATATCAACGCAATGGGCCTCCTTAAGGTTAGCTTTCATGATTTGGGCCGAGTGATTAAGTGTTTTGTTTGACTTCTAATCAGGCCTGCAAGTTTTCTTATGGGAGCAGTTTACAGGAGAGGAATTGGTTCTCCGTGTCTTTCTAGAAAGAACAAACCTTTCCTTGGTTGGTTAATTATATTTGGAGACAGGTTGGTGGGAGTCCATTAGGTCAACGGAGTTATGTTGTCAAACCTTGTGTCTGTGTTGGAGCTTTGAAATTAACACTATGTTCATTTAGAGCGGAAAAGGGGGAAAAGGAAAGTTTAGGGCGGAAAGTGGGAGTTTCAATAAACTTTCCTCCGTTTCCGAAAGCAAGCATAGTAACAAGGGGAGGGAAAAGAAAGGAAAATGCCACTGTTGAACCCTCTCCCCCAAATCGGAGAGAAAGTGCACAATTAACCTTCTCTTCCTTTTTCTTTTATTTGTTAGGACAATTAATTCTTTTACTTTTCCTTTTTTTATTTGTCAGCCCTCTCCTCTCTCCTTGCTATCTTCTTCTTCCCCAAACACAACCCAAACCAGAAACAGGGAATCTTCTTCTCTGTTGAGCTCGCCACTAATTACTCCCACAACGAAAAAAATTCCTCGATCTTCTGCTCGTTTTCTCATCACCGTTCGCCATCGTTTTGGCCATCGCGATCTGTTTTCTCTCCAGTCTATCATAAATCAGAAACAAGAAAGGCGATCGGAGATCGGAATCCGATCGAGAGAGGGAGGGAGCGATCCCACTTCTGTCTCTTTTTCCCTCCATCAAAATCCAGAAAAAATAAGAAATTATCAGAAAATAACCCTAGAACCCCAAATTTAAAGCATGCAATGGTTGAAAACTGCTCACCGTTCGTCACGTCGCCCGGACGCCGTTGATCTTGTCATCCTCGTTGAAGCTTCTGAGCCCGGACCGGCAGATCGAGGTCGAGGGAAGAAAGGATAGTTGATTTGGTGTTCTACGATTGTCTGGCTTTCCAAGAATGGGAACGAAGATAGAAGAGGAGAGCATGGAATGGAAAGGAAATCGGTATTAGAGCTACTTTTTCTTGTTCCATTTACTAGAGAGGCAATACAGAGATAAGATCATAATTCTACCAAAAAAAAAAAGAGATAAGATCATAAGAAAGACTTTGGGGGTGGAGGATTAGGGCGGCTGATTAATATAGTTTTATATTATGGAAACTTCTCAATCTCTTTTATATTAAATCAAAAATTATTGCTATAAAATATTAATTATTAAATAATTCATTTAAATTTTAAATATTATTTTCAGACGTGGAATCTAGCGTATCGCATACGTGTACAATACATAAGTTTTGTTATGTTGTTTTGACAAGTAGTATTTTCCAGCCAGTGATACAATTGGTAGTCCAGTTACAACGAATGAGATAAGTTCCATTATACGTAACGTTATTTTGCACCATACATAACACTGTTGTATGAGATATAAAAACTTGTTACGCTCCTCAAATTTATGTATCTTTAATTTGTTGTATGTTTATATATTTAGTTGCTATGTTATTACTCAATAAAATAGTTAACAAAATTTTAGTAATAGGTTGACAAATTTCATTCAAATAACCAACTTTTGATTTGTTGTAGTTAACAAAATTAACAAAGAACAACAAATTTGATCCACGTTACATAATTAATGTAAATAGTATAAACACATAATTAAATTATTTAACTATTCTATCATCAATAAAATATAATACATATCACAATTCCCAATCTACTTTTTCCCTCCCACTTTCCCTTCCACTTTCCTCCATTAAACAACATTTTCTTTCCAATTTCCTCTAATTTCCCTCCCTTCCAAACTTAACCTCCCCTCCAAATTTTCCTACCCTCCCCTCCTTTTCCTCCCTTCCTTCATGAACATAGTGTAAAGGGATTTCCAACAAGTCCATCATCACAAGTAGTCAAGTCTCCGTCCCTTCGTCAACATCACCGCCTCTGGCGTACTCAGTCCCGGTGTCCGAGTCGAAGGCAGCCGCAGAGTTCAGTCGAAGGCCGCTGCAGTCTTTGGTATTTGGTCAAAAAGTCTAGTCCTCCTTGCGACCAAGTCATCATTATCAAGGTCAGGTAGCAAGTAAATCTTTACCAACATCACAGTCATGGCATTAAGGCAATCATGACTGGAAGTGGTCATCTCTTCAAATAATTAGTGCTGGAAAGAAAGAACAGCTCCTGCCAACAAAATTTCCAAGTTATCAGGTCGAGGCATTCACGATCCATTAAATGGTCGTCCCCTGGAATTCAAAAGGTAGTACGATCAAAGAGTAATCGTCCCTTCGTCGTCCAGCTGGCATTCACGATCTAAGAAATGGTCGTCCCCTCTTCCGGTTCATTATTGGGCACATATCAACCATTCATCTCTTTTCAAGCCGGACATTCACTATGTTCATGCTCCAGCTTGAGGGGGAGAATAGGAGGTCAACATACGTCGGTCGACTAACTCAGTCATCAGGTCAACCGCGATGTACCAGGTGTGTTCCAGTCTAAGAGACGCAGTCAATCGTCTCCATCATCAGGTTGTTCAGAGAGAGTCAGTCGTCTCCAATCAACCTCGTCCGAGATGTTTTTCATCTCGAGTTTTGTGGTTCAAGCCATCATGCTTGTTCTTCACATTTACTTCTTCAAGCTCGACATTCTTGTCATTCATGTCTTCGCTTGAGGGGGAGTGTTGCGGTTACTTAAACCGTGTTAGTATTGGGCCTTGTTGGGCCTCGTCTGATTCGTTGGATTAGGGTTTTAACCCCAAGTTTATCTATATAAGCTTAGCTATCGACTTGTGTGATAGCAAGCCGTAAAGATGTAATCCTAATAAGAGATCAGCTGTGAGCTCTTATGAGCTCACCGTGGATTAGTCTCGATCAATCAATCGATCGAGGATACCACATAAAATCTTGTGTTCGTGTGTTGTTTCAATTCCGTATCATCAAATTCTTCAAGTTCAGTTTTATCCATTATTTAATCCCTTCATAGGTAAACTCCACTTTGTTCACTAAAATTCCTAAGAATCAGAACCCAGTAGAAATGAAGTTTTTTAGACCAATATCTTGTTGCAACATTATTTACGAGTGCATTCATAAAATTCTTGCAAAGAGATTGAGTTCAGTCTTACCTGCAATGATCAGTGAAAATCAAACGACCTTTGTTAAAGGTAGATTGATAGGGGAAAACATTCTTCTTGCTCATGAACTAGTTCATAAATATAATTGGAAGAATGTCTCCCCTAGGAGTATAATACAAGTGAATCTAATGAAGGCTTTTGATTCGGTTGATTGAAGTTTTTTGCTAAAAGTAATGGAAGCTATGGGTTTTCCAAAGAGGTTTATTAAATGGATAGGGATGTGCATTACCACTCCTAGATACACTGTAGGCTTCAATGGGAGAATGACTTGTTACTTCTCTGCTAGGAATGAATTAAGGCAAGGGGATCCCTTATCCGCTTACCTTTTTGTCATTGCCATGGATATTATCTCATGTTTGATGCACCAGTTGGCTTCTAAGGGTTTAATCACATTTCATCATATGTGACTAAAATTGACTCACCTTATGTTTATTGATGATCTACAAGAAATAAAAGAGGTTTTGGCTAAGTTTAGAATCTTTTCTCGTCTTGTGTCTAATCCTGCTAAGTGTGAAATGTATTGTGGGAGTTTACCTATATATTGGCAAACTCAGATGGCTGAGAGGGTTGGTTACAAGTTGGGGTCTCTTCCAGTTCGTTATTTGGGACTACCTCTTACCCTTGGGAAATGACATAGTGTATAATTTGGAAGTTCCTGATTGTTGTTCATGTATTCGTAAGAAAGAAAATGAATTGTACTCTCTTTTTATTATTATTTATATAAAAAAAATTGTATTTTTTTTTTATTTCTAACTAACGGTATATGGATGGATTTCTTAACGGATGCATATTCATTGATACTCGATATCCTTCTTTTTTTTTTTTATAAACTCTATATCATATTTTTACCTTATATGATCCTCCAATTTTCATAATTTAGTGGTAGGCCGGAGTATGGATCTTGTAATTGACCATTGAAATACTTCTCAAGGACACGCAGATCGACGGCGTATAGCACGACCAACCATTTGGTCAATTTTTCCGCCAAAACCAAAAAACAAAAAAAAGGTAGAGAAAGCAACCGCGATAATCGAGCCTCGCCGGCTACTTAGGTTCCACCGTGGTTGAAACTGCGTAGCCACCGCTGTAATCAAACGCGTCACACTTTTCCTTACAATTCCCCTTCCCGCCGCCGCTGCTATTGCTCTTCGTATAACTAGTACACACCTCCCCGCTGCCTCCACAGTACGGATGCTGCCGGAGATTTGCGCCGCCTCCTCCTCCTCCCCCTCTCAGGCAATGAATTCCGAAGTCCGTCGCCGACGAGGAAGCGGAGGTCGAATTGCCGTTCACTCCTTCCTCCTGCAAGATCTCCTCGATCGTCTTCACCGCTTGGCTCATCGTCGGCCGGTCCCCTGCCGACTCTTCCACGCACTGCATCGCCAGTTCCAGAACCCGCCGGAGGCTCGTGCCCGCCGTTCCCACCTCCGCAATGATCGACGGATCGATCATGTCCTTGAGGCCGCAGTAATCCTCCTCCTCCTCCTCCTCCGCTTCCAGCGTCATCTTCGCCCGCACTTGGCGGACGATGTACTTTCCTTTCTCAATTGGCTGCCTCGCCGTCACCAGTTCTAGCACCACCACTCCGAAGCTGTACACGTCGCTCTTCTCCGTCAGTTGCTGCGTCATGTAGTATTCCGGATCCAGGTATCCCTGCAATCAATTGACAATTTTGTGAGCCTGACTCTTAATTTGAAAGCTGAAAGAGAATTCTAAACCTAGATTTGATTATCTGTGCTGAGATTGAGTTGTACTCACCAAGGTACCTTTAACCTGAGTTGAAACGTGGCCCTTGGTGCTATCACAGACGAGCCTGGACAAGCCAAAATCAGCAACCTTGGCACTCAAGTTTTGGTCCAAAAGGATATTGGTGGACTTGATGTCTCTATGGATGATTGGAGGGTTTGCAAGCTCGTGAAGGTAAGCGAGCCCTCTAGCCGAGCCAAGGGCGATTCGGAGTCTCCTTCTCCAGTCAAGATGAATGCCTGATTTCCCTGTGAAAAGAATTTGGTTTAACATTCCAGTTCCATCTGCAGCTTTGACTATAAAAGGGGGCTGTTGCACACCTGATTTTGATCACCTCACCTGTCAAACTTTCCTTGAGAGAACCATTGGGCATAAATTCGTAAACCAGCATCTGTTCGCCTTGTTCGAAACAGAAGCCAATTAGGGCTAAGAGATTCTTATGGTGTACTCTTGAGAGCAGCTCAATTTCAGTCTTGAACTCCTGCCCGCCCTGTAATGATCCTTGTCGAGCTCGTTTAACAGCAACTATCTGCCCATCAGAAAGCATTCCTCTATACACCTGCAGACAAACAAGATAGAGAATCGTTTATTTTTTCCTCTGGTAAGTAGTGATTAAGCTGTTTAGTTTAGTCTCTAAACACATTCTGTTTTTTAATGATATTGCTTATGCTGTTTTTCTCCCACCTTGCCGTAGCCTCCAGAACCCAACTCATTGCTTCCTGAGAAGTTACTAGTGCACTTCTTTAGTTCCTCATAGGAGAACCATCTTGCTCCCTTCAACTGCGGTGCCCCTGCTCCACCACTGCTATCCTTCCGACTTGCTGCTGCCCAAGAAGCTGCAGGGACAGAGTTAGCACAACAAGTTAGAAGGTCTGAATCTAAGTTACTATTCACAAGAGATTTTAGATTGAACTTTGTAGCTTTGTTCATGCATTCAAGAGATTAGCGTGTTTCTAGGACTACTAGAAACATACCAAACGGTTTACTAAACACAATAGCCTTCTCTGCACGTTTTTTCTGACGAATGGCATAAATGGCTGCAGCAACAAGGCACAGAACCAGAACGGAGCAGCCGCTTGCTATCCCAGCTACAAGGCCTCTGCCGATGGAAGCTCTTCCATGGTCCCCTGAAAGGTCAAGAGCATTGTAATTCCAGGACATTACAACAGTTTATTAGCAATCTTATCATGGTAATATCAGGGCAAGATGTCTCATCTCAGTATTTGAAACAAAGTTTATACCTGGGAAAGGGTATGGGGATGCAATGAAATAGAAAGGTCCGAATTCATGGGGAGGCTTGTAGGTTTGATTGCTCAAGTCAAATCCAATTCTCTGGATTTCCGATCTGTTGAAGTACTTTCCACCAGAAGCAGGGGGGAAAAGGGCTAGCTGGATCTGGAGATAATCATCAGAGTTGAAAATCGGGTTCCGGAGCGAGACAGAGCCAGGGGTAAGTCCTAGCTTCACCCAGAGGCTCATCTCCAGTGCATGAAAAGTATTCACATCCGTCAGATCCCTGAAGGAAGGCCCTCTGAAGTATAATGTGCCTTCGTATGGGTACGCACAGTCGCAGCTCTGCGGGCTGAGCTTCTGGTCAGCTGTGCAGAGTTTGGTCCCACAGTTGGCGAGGCTTGTGGAGTAAGATTTGGAGGACTGTTCCCTCTGGAGTTGGCAGTAGTTAGTGTTGGATAGAGCCGTGCAGACCGGGTTTCCCACTAGTCTGTGCATATCATAAGTTTGCATTTAAGAACCCTTGTTCGATGATTCTATCCATGATTAGACTTACTAAAGGGAAAAGGAGAATAAAATTGCTGAGATGCTTACATTAATGTGTTGGTGTACCCAGCAGTTAGTGTTACAGAGGAAATCTGGTTGTTCTGCAGGTCAACAAGCTGAAGTTGTGGACTAATGCTGTCGCCCATGCTTAATGTGCCGTTGAAGGCATTGTCATTCAATAACCTGACAGGATATTGTTGAACCGAATGAGTATTGATTATTAATCATATCTAATTTAGGATTTTCTCTCTACCAGGGACAAAGGAGGACATACACTTGCTGTATTTGTGGGAAACTGAAGATCTTTGGTGGCAGAGGTCCTTGAAGTGATCCATGTTCCATAACCCTGTCCAGCAGAATTAGTCATTGCTAGATAACTTCTGGATTTTCCACTTGGTAAGCATGAACATGATTTGTCTGTCAAAAGTTTTCTAGAAGGCGTCGATGGTCTCAACTTACAAAGTGGTAAGAGATGGCAAGGTGGAGAACCAAGTAGGAGCTTCTGAGGGTTCGAAAAAGTTGCTGCTGAGGTCTCTGTTAAGGTAACGAACAATTTATGCATAAGAGTGCTGATCAATATCTAATGATGTAGATCTACAGTTATCCAAGACGTACACGTAATTGAGGTTATTCATTCCTGTTAAGTTTGGCAAGGGGCCGGTTAATCTGTTGTGCGCCAAGTTCCTGAAGAGCAAAAGGATCATACATTATGATTTAATATCAACCCTGTAAGTATGTAGGCAACCAATAGTGACATCTACTCACAGTTCATTGATGTTCAGAAGTTTGTTCAGATTCGAGGGTATCCTTCCAACCAAAGCGTTTCTATCCAATCGGCTACAGAAAATAAGATCTGTATCAAAATTTCCAGTTTTGGCCAGTTGACATGAAAGAAACAGAAGATGGCATTGTGGTTTTGAGTTTACTCACAGAACTTCAATGGTCACAACTAGTCCTAGCGTGTCTGGGATACTTCCATTGAGTTGATTCCCATCGAACAGTCTAGAATTGTAGTGAGATCATGGTGTCAGCAGATGCAAACAAGATCATGTATCAGGATGGATGGCAGAAAAGAGTAAGAAGCTATGGAGTCTTACACATGTATGAGGACCATCTCAGGACTGAAAAGCCTGGGAGGAATGGGACCTGAGAGCTGGTTCTTGTTGAAATGACTGCAAAAGCGGGGTAAAGATACCAAACTTGTGTAAAGATTGAATGAAACCTCTTTTCTGATGTATTCTTGCCTCATGAAATAGTATACACAGGTTTGCAAGTATTCAGACACTCACAAGTGCTTAGCCTTGAGGAGGAGGTCCAAGCCTGGAGTGTCCGGTGTGGAAACTGGGACATTTCCTGTCAATTGATTGTCAGCCAAATCCAACCAGTAAAGCTTGGAGAGGTTCCCCAATGACGGGGGTATTCTTCCTGTCAAGTTATTCGAGTTGAGCGCCCTGCAGCCAACGTGTGAAAACCGTAGCAATTAGAAGGTTTGTACTCCCATTTACAAAGTAATTTAATTTTGCAGGGTCATACAAGAAGGATAGTTCTGAAAGTTTCCCCAGCTCATCTGGAATTCCACCACTGAAGCCACATCCCACCAAGATTCTGGCAAAACAAGACAGCATATCAGAAACGTAAAGAACAGAAGTAATCAATCCATCACATTACAGAGAAACAGACAAGGAGGAGGAGCAAGAAATGGTACTGTACAAGATGTTTAACTTCTGCAGATCGCCTAACCGTGGGGTTAATGGCCCTACGAGGTCTCGGTTGTATGACAAGTCCCTGCAATTGGCGATCGACGCAAGAGGTAACTAATCATCGCTTCAGCGATTCACCCTTTCGAAAACATATAAGCAAGATCGGAACTTACAAGGATCTTAGTTCAGTTAGCCCTCCAATGTCACCACTCAACTTCCCTTTAAGACCCATGCTGGACAATCCCCTGCACTTCCAAATTAAGGATCAGACTCAGTTAGCTCAACTACCACTATAATATATATATATGTAGGAGAGAGAGGAAGGGGACTAACAATGCAGAGATTCTGGAGTTTTTGCAGGTGACTCCTTCCCAAGGCAACCCACAGGGATCATCCGACTGCGTCCAGCTTGGAGGAAGGTTCCTCCATATCTCTTTCAGCGACCTGAGTGCTGCAGCTGCATTTTCCCCCCGTAACCGATGCATATTATATCAAACAACATCATAACCCGTATTCAGAATTCTGACTACTTACCATCACGAGGATCAGTTGCAGACAGGCTGACATGAAATGCTGCGACGAACAAGAAGAAGAAGAAGGTAAGCAAAACAAGCAGCCGCCGCCCCATTGCTCACTCTAATAGTTCCCCTCTCTCTGCTAGCTATTTGGGGAGTTATTTTGGAGTGGCATTGTGTGTTTCTGCCTGGAGAGTGTGTGGAAGAGGAAAGCGAAAGAAGATGGTATATGGTAAGGTTAAATTCCAACTCAACTGATCACTTGCTTTCCTCTTTTTTCCTCCCCCCTGCCCATCAAAGTTGATACTGATATGATTTTATCTTGTCTTGGAAAACACTCTATTCCCACACCAAACCGACTTTTCCCCCCTCCCACCCAGGTTGCAATTATCGTTTACTTCGTTGAGAATTGCACCAACATTCATTCATTTTTTTTTACGTAGTTAGTGAGAGATGGTGAATGAGTGTGACATTAATAACCACCATACAATCATATTATAGATCCAATATCACAATATACTTCTCCATAGAAAACATACTCAAACTACCACCATCGATGTCTCTTACCCTTACCCAACTTATATTATACTAATACGCCTGCTACCAGAAGAACAATCCATACTACGACTACCACAATAGTCCGCGCCGGCAGACGATTCGATCGATCCATCGCAAACAAAGAAAGCTAGAACCGAGCCGCCAGATTCGGCTGCGTAGGCGGCACCTTGGCGTTGAGGAACCGGACGAAGACGACGCTGCCGTCGAGCACAAGGTACTCGCTGACGAGCCTCTCCTCGTCGTCCATCGCCGCCATGGCGGGGCCGTGGTGCAGCATCATCCCGCCCGTCGTCCTCCACCCCAGCTTGTCGGCCACCATGCGCTTCAGCTGCCCCACCGTCGCCGTCTCCATGCACTGCACCGCGTCGCCCCACTGCGGGTACTGCGGGGACTCCAGCGCCACGGTGATGGGCACCGTGGTGTTGGGCTCAACCACCAGGTCCATCAGCACCATCTGGTCCGGGCCCACGTTGTAGGACGACAGGGTGCGGTCGTCGGCCAGCGGGCCGCCCGGGGCCCACAGGATGGTCTGCCTGGCGACGGGGACGCCGTAGAGGGACTGGATCGTCTGCTTCACCTGCCGGATCGTCGACGTGTTGGGGATGTCGAACCGGATCGTCAGCTGCGTCCCCGCAAACTCCAAGGTCGCCGGCATCCTTCCGCTTCCTTCTTTTTTGCTGCTGCTGCTTAGCGATTTGTGCTCGTTAATATTGCATGTGAGGTGTTGGTTCGGGGAGTACGTATTATAAATAAGTAAGTCATGCATAGTGCGGGGAATTCGTTACTAACGGAATCTCGAAGGAGTGAAGCTTTGTCGTGATGATGGGAAATGGCGAATGCATGCATGCATGGAAGTGTTCTTATTTTGCAACTATAACAAGCTACTCTACACACATACATAGGTGCGAAATACGAAATGTCTGAACATGGATGGAGGCAGGGTAGAGGTGCCACTGACTAGGGCGGGTAGTGGAGACTCAAGGATTGTTTGAAGAGGTGTATTGCGGATAAAGTACAATAATTCATAAAAAAAAAAAATTTAATTCGTAAAGTTCACAACGTTATGTTTACACAACGAACCACAATGACTTTTTATATCCTGAAATGTTATGTTGCATAAATCAATGACTTTACTCGACCGATTTCAAAAATCGTAACTGGTTATTTTCATAGCTAGAATATAAAGTATGCAGAATAGACGACAACGAGTTGACGTGGTATCGTCGATCGATAATCCGATCGAGACTAATCGATTGGGAGAGTTGAAAGCTCTTCTGCTTAACGATTTCACAGCTCAGCTTCCCGCCGGAGTGGTCCTCCGCTCAGTTCGGGGGTCCCACAGAGATATTCATGAAGGAGGAGCATCATATCCCAATATCGCGTTCCGGAATATGGAGATCGAATGATGCAATTGCCACCTCAAAACCATATATGCCCTTATTTTTTTAGTTTATGAGATGAATGTACTTTGCGGTCATACATACAATTGTGGTCAAAACCACACCAAATTGCTAATTTATGCGTTTCGGGCCAACCACACCAATTAGGAGGAATTTTACTATGCTTTAAAGCATGTTGCTTTAGTTTTTACTGTAATTATACAACTTGAAATTGTACTTTTAACATTATGGTACAACTTCAGGTTGTACTTATACTCTTTTGTACAAATCTTTTTACTGTACAACCTGAATTTGTACATTTATGTTATGGTACAACTTGAAATTGCACCATAACATAAAAATACAAATTATTATATGGTACAACATGAAACTATACATTTGACATTATGGACATTAAAGCACCAATACTTTAAAGCATAATAGAAATACTCCACCAATTAGTTCGCGGTTATATAGGGTAAAATACCCATGATTCCACTTAAGTTTACAAATTGATGAAGGCGTGCAACTTTACTTTATTTAGGTATCGTATATTACTAAATTCACTCTTTTGTGCACCAAATTCCACTTAACTTTATGTTAATTATATTGCACTCCATTAGAGTTGACATAATATTTTTAGAGATATTATGTTCTCTAAATTTCAAAACTAATCCCTCTTCTTTTCCTTTTTACCATTTTTTTAACTTAAGAAAATCATTATCTTTGAAATATTTCTACTTCGCAATAGTTCTAATACCAACAATTGTGAGACAACTCCTTCCTAGGAACTACTCATAGATATTTTTTAAAGTAAGCTAATTTTTACGCTCTTGTTGAATTTTATCAAGCCAAATCTTATCTTATGCATTGTAATTCACTCACCTTTCCTTTGGGATACATGCATTTCATAATAAATATTAAGAAAAACAGCTGAATTTATAACCACTTTTAACCAGTTATCTTTATAAAGGAAATCTTTCTCAGTTCTATGAGGATAATTATGTTTAAAATCTTGTCGCCTAGTGGTAACAAGTTTATATTGAATATTAGATCATCTGCTTAAATCAAGATTTTGTTTATTAAATTCATAGATTTTCGATGGTCGTTTGCTAAGTGGCTAGTATTAGAATTTGGGCTATATTTGACTTTCATTTAAAAAATATTAGTCGTTTGGATGGATCAATCTAGAAATGAGTCAATTGAATCAATTGTCTCATTTTATAAAAGAGGCAATTAAAACGAGTCAATTCGAATTACCTACCCCCACACCAGGTAATTGAAATTGACTCAAAACGGATCAATTCAAAATACCTTAGGCAGATTGATCCATCCAAATTTTTTGCTGGCAAACGAGACAATTTGATACAATTGTCTCAAAACGAGACAATTGTGTCAAATTGATCCGTTACAATTCCTCATCCAAACGACCCCAATTATCTTTGTAAGCTCTTCTTGGTTTCCCATGGTTATCTATGAAGAAAATGACTACTAATAAAGTCTTGATGACCAAAATGTAATTAAATTTCGGGCTAGATGGATGCACTTTTACAATACTTTACTGATACCCGAAGCCCTATTTGGATCGTTTGGATGAGGTACTTTGACGAGTTATTTCAGTAAAATGCCACAATATTTGAATGTTTTATATCTAAACAAGATAATTTGACCAATTATCACATTCCAAACTGTAATACTACATGAAAACGTCACATAACAAAATAATACAACATTTTGATTCGAATATACCACTGTACCAAAATGATGCATCCAAACGGATTTTTATGTGGTATAACTATACTAATTTTTAAACTTAAGCGATACGAGAAATATTTTACACCAATCTTATGTATGGTGCGGTTCGATTAATTGGTGATGCGATTTATATCGTTGCGGTGCGGTGTGAACCGTGCCAACACACACCGTTAGTTTAAACTGCACAAGTGGATATCTTTATCACTAAACACCATAAATAACTCAAACTGATCGTTTAGACTTTAGATAATTATTAATTAATTACCCAAAAATTCAATAGAATCACAAGTTCACAACCCTCGCCCGTCACAAAAGAATAAAGAAAGAGAGAATCACAAGACAGAACAGAATACACTCCCGTTTCCGGAAACGCCATCGTGGCGCGAGCTGGCGGCACTTTGACGACCAAAACAATTACACGCAACAGAATTCGCGGTGTCTCTCCCTCGTCTTCCCCTCTCTCTCTCTCTCTGTAGGTCGCTTCCTGTCGTTCTGTTCAGGTGCCGGAAAATTGCAGCTGCAAAGAGCTGCCCATCTCCAATTCCTCTCTTGCGCACAATCGGGATATCGAAGGGCTGGCGGGACGGAATGCTTCCGCGGATCCGTCCTCTTATCTTTTTTTATGGTTCGCAGTAGAATTAGAGGGAGGACGGGAGATTGAGTCAGAGGTGGGAGGGGTTGGAGAAGGGTGAATTTTAGGGTTTAGAAATAGATTAGAAGCTCAGCAAAATGAAGCCCATGGAGACAATTCAGGATCTGATTGAGGAGGCGAAGCTTCGAACCGTGTGGTGGGGGTTGTGCATCTTCGCCGTTACGTACTTCTTGTCTCGTGAGTTCCCCTTCTCCTGTATAAAATTTAGCGGTTCTAGTTTTATGTTGTCTTCTTTTGGTTGGTTTAGGATTAGGATAGTTGAATTATGGCTTCCCGAATTCTGTTTTGGCGAGACATTGCTAATCGTTGAACTTGGATGGATCCCAATTTGGTGAGCTTTGAGTTTAGTTATGATGAACGCCGAATCTGTAACGCTATTTGTTGTCGTGGTGCTGTTGACTTTTGTTTATGCAATCATTTGCTCTGGTTGCTGGCGGTTGATGGAGTAAAATGTAGTGCTCAAGTCAAGTGCATTCTTTGTCATGTTGCCGAAATTCTAAGCCATCCATGTCAAGGTTTTCATTTTATGAGGTTGATGTGCTAACAATTATGGTTTTGCTAAAATTTCAGATACAAGTTCGTCGATGTGGATTAACCTCCCGATGTCGATACTCTTAGTTTCAGCATTAAGGATATTGTCTAATGAAGTAGAGTTCTATTGGAAACCCCGGAACAAAGTCCGCCCACAATCGTATTTGTCTCATTTGGAGAAGAAGCAGTTATCCATAAATGACTCTCGGCTTTCTTCTGCACCACCGCCTCCTAGATGGAGGAGGAAAATCGATTCTCCCATCGTGGAGGCTTCGGTCAATGACTTCATTGATAAGATAATGAGGGATTTTGTGGTGGATCTCTGGTACTCTGAAATTACACCAGACAAGGAAGCCCCTGAGTTGATCCGTGCAGTAATTATGGATGCTCTTGGTGAGGTATCAGGGAGGGTTAAAGAAATTAACCTTGTTGATCTTTTAACAAGGTATTGCATGAGTCTTGTTGTTTATTTGGCTCGTCATAATATAATGCTTTATGTTGTTGCCTGGGATTCTGCAATCAAAGCATAAGATGTGGAAGCCTATCAGATGGAATTTGATGAGGGGTTTGTACTGCAGGGATATACTTGATTTAATAGGAGATCACTTGGACCTTTTTAGAAGAAATCAAGCTGCTATTGGTGTTGATGTAATGAGAACTCTCTCAACCGAGGAGCGAGATGAGAGATTAAAACACCATCTAATGGAATCTAAGGAGCTCCATCCAGCTTTGGTATCTTCAGAGAGTGAGTACAAGGTGTGAGTGGAGTGTTCTGATTGTTACCTTTCCCCCTTTCTCATATCTTGATTGTGGTTCATAAACCTCAATTGTTGCATTTCTTTTTCTTCCAAAGGTTCTTCAGCGGATAATGGCTGGGGTTTTAGCCGTAGTGCTAAGACCTCGAGAAGCTCAATGCCCCTTGGTAAGGACTATTGCCCGAGAGATTGTGACTTGCTTGGTAATGCAACCTGTTCTGAATCTTGCAAGCCCTGTGTAAGTAATCTTTTCTTTTGTTCCCCCTCTCCATGATGCTTTTGCCATATTCTGAGGTTCTCTATTTTAAAAGGGATGGAATTTTTTGTCATAAAATAATTGGTTTCTTGTTTAATTTCATTTTCTTCTGTCTGAAGATTGTAAAATGTTAGTATTAATATGAGTAAAATGTTCGATTACAGATTTTGTTATTCCTTATGTCCAGTTAGAATATCATTATTGTCATGGTAGCCACTACCTCAAAGATTATCTTTAGGATGAACCATTATTACATAATAATCTTTTGGCGATCCATTGTTTCAGTCTCACATTCTTCATTTGTAATCCTGATTGTTTACCCAATTAATACTCTATGCTACTGGTCAAGTGGCTGTGGATATTTTATGGAGAGGAAGTACTTGATGTATTTGCTCAGCCAGTTGAAACCTAGATGGTGTAATCATCCTTGCTGTGTTTGCTATGTCTCTATTAAAGTAATCGTCAAATGACATCTCACATTTCATATCTCCCTGGCTGTTGCCCTGGTGTTGTTAAATCCGCTTCGTTCCAGATGTGAATCATAAATAAGTTGCCTATACAAAGTATAGTAACCCACAATTTTTTCTGAAAACAGGTATATCAATGAGGTGATTGAATACATTTTGCTTGCCGTGTTAGATAATAACCCTAAGGACACTGGAAGTGATCAGGCCACTGGAGTTGCAAGTAGTGGAGCATCGGTCTTGCGGAAAAATGCTTCATTCGATCCTTCCAGTGGTGTGGCCCCAACTAAGACTGGAATGCATGAAGACACCTCAATGGGTGATGGTGTAGACCACCCAGACTCTCCACCCCATGCTGATTGGGGGAAAATGCTAGAGGCTGCTACACAGAGAAGAACTGAAGTTCTCACACCTGAAAATCTTGAAAATATGTGGACTAAAGGTAGAAATTATAAGAAAAAAGATAATAAGATTGCGAAAGCTGGTGGCCTGCGGGCTAAGTCAAAGGTGTCTTCAATGAGCAATGCTGAGTTCACTTTCAGTACGGAGAAAGAATCACCAACTTCCAGCACTGTGATTCAGAAAACAACAGATGGAAAAGTTGGTGAGCACCTAATGCCTCAACTAAGTCTTGATAATTCATTAATCAATGAGAAGAAAAATGAAAAACATTTTATAGCTGGTCGGTGTATGGATTATACTTTGGCTGGAGCTGATACTATCGATGAATTTGAGACTCCTACCAAGCCTTCTATGAATGAAAATGGAGCTAAGCTTAAGCGGTCAAGTAGCACCTCTGCTCTGAAAGACCAGCCTGAAAAGAAAAGAGCAATAGAAGGGGAACATGGAGGTTCCATTATTTCAGAATACTACAATGCAGAGTTTGTCGGGCATGCTTCGGATCCTGCTGTTAAGATCATTCCTGATAAAGTATTGCACAGTGATGAGGCAACTGTTCCGAAGCTGAGATCCCGGGTAACTGTTATTTCATGAGAATTTTTTTGAGGTGGAGAGACTGTAACATCAGTCCTAAAGCCTGGAATCTACCCAACATACGGCTGCTTACAGCTACCTTGAATGAAATTCATTCCATTTGTTCATCCTGTTTGGGCAGGTCATGGGAGCGTACTTTGAGAAGCTTGGGTCAAAGTCCTTTGCAGTTTATTCAATTGCAGTGACGGATGCAGATCAGAGAACTTGGTTTGTGAAAAGAAGGTATTTTATCGGGGGAAAAAAGAATTCTTGAAACAGTTCTATTCATTTCTTGATGCTGGGTTCAGTTTTCTTTCTCTGTTCCCAGACTTTTATCAGTTCGTTATAAAATTATGAAAACTAGCTAGAATGTAAATCTAAGATATATTAGCATCTCTTTTATTTTCTCTAATTCATGAATATCTTACCAAAAATTTTCTTGCAGATATAGTAATTTTGAGAGGTTGCACAGACAACTTAAAGACATTCCTAATTACACCTTGCATTTGCCTCCCAAAAGGATCTTCTCATCGAGCACAGAGGATGCTTTTGTTCATCAACGCTGTATTCAGCTTGATAAATATCTCCAGGTAGTGTTCACTACGCCCTTTGACATTCTTAATTACAGTGTTTACCTCATAGTGATTTTTTATTGTGTACATCTTGTAGGAATTACTGTCCATAGCTAATGTGGCCGAGCAGCATGAAGTTTGGGATTTTCTAAGTGCTTCGTCTAAGGTGTGACATCTGTTTCAAAAGTTGCTATCTCATTCTTGGTTATTTTCTGCTTTTGTTCCTGGTTCGTTGAAACACTGTTCAGGATTCTAATCCTCTTTTCACATGTTCTGAAGAATTACTCTTTCGGGAAATCTTCTTCAGTGATGAAAACCCTGGCAGGTATGTGATACATCTTGGGACTTCGTTCTTGCTGAGCTTTCCAATAAGATCTTCTTCTGCTACTGTTACACTTTTTTTTTTAATGTATCTGTTCTTTGGTGGTTCATATGATCTGGTTTGTCTGGTAACTTTTCCTTGTTTCCTTGCTTTGCACGTCATGTCTTCAGCCTGCAAATATAAAATTTTAATCCCTTGGCAGTTTCAATATCTGAGACCATCCTGCTATCTTTACTCGTGGTTGAGTTTTCTTGTCTATGTTGGCAGAGTTATAAATGTTTACGAGAGTGTTGATGGGTTTATTCAATTATTTGAGTCATTACTGATCTGATTTTGCTTTTGAAAATTAACAGTCAATGTGGATGATGCTGTGGACGATATTGTGCGGCAATTTAAAGGGGCTGGCTGGATGCGTAAAGTTGTCGGTTCAACTTCCCAAATGGATGATTCCAGTTCTCCAAGCTATAGCAGGAATTTGAATTGGAATTTAGATGAGACGATTAAGCCTGCATATATGCAAGATACCGTTACGGAAAACAGCTCTTCTGATAATGATGACAGTCATCATCAAGAGGACCAAGACCAAGAGGATGTGGGACCCGGTGCACAAGCTAGTGGTTGGCATTCAGATAATGAAGTGGAATCGAGGACTTTGCCAAGCCGAGTGATGAAACGGGATGATGAGATGTCAAAGAGCTTAAATCTAAAGCAAACTGATGACTCCATTATAAAATCTGATGGTAGTAAACAAGGTCGGCCTTCGGCAGTGACTTCTGCCTTAGGTTCTACTCGCTTAGAGGATCCAGTTGGTATGCCACCTGAGGTACTGTTTCTTGCATCGAGTTTGACTTGGCTACTGGTTTTGGCTGGTTACACAAGATAGATCGATTTTTTACTGGTTGGAGTTGCTAACATGTTACTTGGTATAGCTAGGTTTAGTTAAGATTTGGTTTTGCTACTTGGCCTTTTCTCTTCAGTTAGGAATCTTGCTAGTTGGTATTTTTTATTTGCTCAATTATCATGATTATGTGAACTTCTGCTATGGAAATCGTGTTGGTTATTAGCTTGCTGAATTTTGTTCTCCTGTTGATTTTGTCCTTCCTCTGTTCGCCCAGTGGACGCCACCAAACGTCAGCGTGCCCCTGTTGAATCTAGTTGACAAGGTGTTTCAGCTTAAGAGAAGAGGTTGGCTGAGGTTAGCTAATCTATTGCACTCTAAACAAATAAATGCGAAGTTTGAGTACCCTGTATGACTGTATCTTGCTTACTTGCCCGAGCGTATTACATTCTATTTAATTCACTGCCTCTTGGAGTCTCTTATGCAGTAGCAGGTCAATAGACATGTTAAAACTGCTCCAACTTTATCAAAGAAAGATATATGTATTTGTTCCCCTCATTCAACTTATGAAGGCTGAATTTAATGGGCGCAGGAGACAAGTGTTTTGGATGTCCAAGCAGATTGTGCAATTGATAATGGAAGATGCCATCGATGACTGGCTTCTGAGGCATATTTATTGGCTTCGGCGAGAGGAAACTATAGCCGTAGGGATTCGATTGGTGCAAGATGTAAGTCGTTGTCTCTGCAATTTGTAGTAATCTCTGTGGTTCATATGTAGAGTTACGTTTGCCGTAGGCGATCTCCCTGTTCTTCTTCTGATGGTTTAAACTTTTCCAGATTCTTTGGCCAAGTGGAACTTTCTTCACAAGAATTGGGGTTGCTCAAACTCAAGCTGCTGATGAAGCTCCACAAAATCTGAATTCTTTTCAGATGGGCCAGTTTGGTGGCAACAGCAAGGCACCCAAGCAAATTTCATTTGAGGAACAACTTGAAGCTTCTCGCAGAGCAAATTATATCAGGAAAACACTCTTTGGTGAGACTCGACGAAATTCTTCACTCTATTCATGTTTCTGATTAGTGATAATTAGTATCTTATAGCAGCTTATTCCCGTTTCTAGTCTGTCCAGAAAGTAACAAATCATACGGTTTTCTTCAACTTGACGAAGACGCTACCTGTTGCTTAAAGTTTCAGTTCATTATAATGTTAACTTGTAAATTATAGCTTCTAATTTTCTTCCCCTTTGTCGTTAGATGGAGTCCCAACAGCCTTAGTCAGCTTGATTGGTGCGAATCAGTACAAGCGCTGTGCACGAGATATCTTCTACTTCACTCAGGTTATATATTTGACGCTATATTTGCTATATTCCATGCTGCATTTGTTTCTATACTAACTGAGAATCCCCGTGTTGCGTAAAATGCAGTCTACTATCTGCATAAAGCAGCTCGCGTTTGCAATTCTCGAGCTCCTACTGGTGACGGTCTTCCCTGAGCTCCGGGATCTTCTGCGAGAACTTCATGAGAAGATGCCCGTCCCTACCCCTGCTTAGTGTAGAGAACCATCAGTTCCTTTTTTGCAGCGATAAAGTTGACCAAGTTAACATGATGCCAGTGGTCGCCAACTGAGGTCGACGGAGTCATCAACGATTGATTGCCGCGGTCATGCCAGTTGGGGCGGTTATGCGCGAAACAGCAGAGGGACTAGGGTTGGGAGAGGCTATAATGTAATTACCAGGGAATAGTTTTGTTGGCTTGGTGAGGTTGTGGAAGGTTGGATGGTTCATTCTTGATGTACAGAAATGTACATTTTTGTTCAGCTATATATTTTGTATAGAAGAAGACACAGGACAGGAGAGCCTCAGACTGGTTTTGTGTGAATACCATGCTTCGATCACAACTTCCAACTTAGTAGACAACACACTGGATTGGATTGGACTTTGATGGATTCAAATGTCATTTATACTTTGAACCGATATGAAAATTTTGAAAAGTATAGGTTTTAAAAATGTGATTATATAAAATTTATGGTATCAAAGTTCAATTTCTTAATGATATGTTTAGTCGAAAAATTAAATTTAGGTATCAAATTGTAAAAAAATAAAATTGCATATACTATATTGTAATCTCCACCGCTCTCTTGCTACAAGGAGACAAGTCTTTTGCTACAAGGAGAGAAGTCTTTGGCATTCTTATGAACGTTTTGTCATAATACATCATTGACCTACTACTATTTGAAAAAGATAATAATATTTAACTCATTTACAATAAATATAGAGAAAAGTCTTCATTTAAGAGATATAGTAAAATGAATAAGTAAGTTTAAATAATTAAAAGATAGAATCTTAAAATTTTTTGGAGATAAAAATATGATTTTAGAATGTCTAACAGATGAGAATTACATGTAAATGTTTATATAAATAATGATAGAATGTGTCGAGATATATGTCCAAACGAAATGTTCTTATTGACTGGAATTACTGTTAGCACCATAATAACAAAAAAAAGTATCAGTATGCTAGTTTTTCTCCAGATTAACTTACTCCACGTATTCGGGTTAAACCGAAATAACATTGCCACGACTTATGAGCATGGTTGTCAAACCGGTTTTATGCCGGCGGGTTCAACCAGGTACAACCGGTACCGATCACCAAACCGGCTGGAAAGAGGCCGGCATTTAACTGTGGTCAAATCCGGTCAATGCCGGTCAGATCCGGTCAATTCCGAAAATTCCGGCCGGTTAGACCAAAAACCGGAATTCAATGTTACACATATTTTATCCAAAAATAAACACCTTCCTTAGAATTTGAACCAAGTACCTCATGTTCATTTTAGTCTCACTTATACACCAGTAGGCTACAAGCAACTTTATTGTATATATTAACCTTATATATTATATATCTAATACTTAATTTTACACAAATCATTATAAACATTAATAAAATTCATTTTATATACTTTTATTTTTAAGCATCTAATTGTTTAGTATTAGTTACCAATTCTTAGCTATAAATTATTGTGTGAAATAATTTTTCTAATTACTTTTTGATGACTAATTTATTTGGAATTGAGGATTTCCATTTGTCTCATATATTTTATTAAAACCGACACAATCGGCATGAATACTGGTTGTACCACGGTCGGACCATTTCACTTTCAAAACCGGCACACCGGCCTAAACCGATTTGACAACCTTGCGTCCATCATCCATGTATAAACCATTGCATTCTCGTCTTTCCAGATGGCACTATCTGATTGGCCGTCCAGCACCATACCCTGCTCCCGCCACTTCCGACATTGTTAAAAACCAGCAGCCTTTTCAAATTTTCATTCTTACCCACTTCGCACGGAGCAAAGTTTGGCGCAGAGAAAGAAGTGGTGTCGACGCGGCGGCGAAGAGCCTGGAGTGTCGCCGTCGCTGCCGGGGAAGGAACATATGGGGGGAGTCCGAGTTTGGAATCGATTCCAGTTTCCGTGTATGAAGAACTGAGAGACCAAAGGATCAAACAGAATAAAGAGAGAATGGAGAAATTAGGTCTTCTGGACCTCTCTCTCAAGATGAAGCCCTCCAACAGAAACCCTAGAAATGCCGTTCTCAAAAAATTTCCCCTTTTTGCTCGGTTGCTGGCAAAGGGTGGGGGAATCAGGGGAAGGAAATTTGATGGGCACTGATTATTCGAATGCCTCATTTGGACTTTCCTTGAGAGTCCTGCTTGCGGTTCGTGTTTTGAGGTTGAAGACGCTTACTCCAGTGAGCTATGCTGAGATGATGAATGGAAAGAAGAGGGAATCCTTGAAGGTCGTCGAGATTCATTTGAAAGAAGGCTCACAACCTGAGATTTATGCAGAAGAGCTTCAAATGCTTCAGGGTAACTGGCAGAAGGAATGGAATTTGTCCTTGAATGGACAAACCTGTCACCAGTGCAGGTTGGTGATAGGTTTTCCCTTATGCAGTTTACTGTGTCAAGTCTGCAATTTCATTTTTGAGCAAGACAACGTACCAGAGTTGCTTAATCAACAACTCGTCTGTGGAACTTTAGTAGAATTGATGTAATGATGTGAACGGAATCTCCTAGAACTTCTGTAAACTTTCTTGCAGGCTAAATCTAACCAGTCCTGCTAGAGATACAAATGATGGGTAATTTACAGCATCTTAATATTAACACTGTTCTTGTAGGCAAAAGGCACTTGGTCTTCACACGACTTGCTGCAAATGCAAGTTGGTCCAAGGTCAGTTCTGTGGGGACTGCTTATTGATGAGGTAACTGTGAACACGAGCAGAGCGCTTTTATGTTCATAGTTCTATTTTGACCAAAATACAACTGCCTCTTAATTGAAGGGTCCTCGTGCTTTCTCTTTCAATTTATAGTTTATGATTGTTTTTGTTTCCTTGGTGCCTCGACTCCACCAACTTTGATCAGATACGGAGAGAATGTGACTGAAGCCAACCAGAATCTTGATTGGATTTGCCCTCCTTGTCGGGGGATATGTAATTGCAGTCTTTGCAGGAAGGAAAAGGGTTGGTTACCAACTGGTAATCTTTATAGAAAGGTTAGTACGTTACCTTTTCGGTTTCATCTTCCACTTCCATGCTATATCTGAATGCAAACACAACATTGTTTCTGATTACGGGATATGAGTATGACTAACAGATATGGTATGCTTTTCAGGTGACTCATCTGGGTTTTAAGTCCGTGGCACATTTTCTCATTCAAACCTGCCGTGGTCAGTCTCATCCAGAAGACTCACCTGCTGAAGAAATGCAGCCTTCCATTCCCTTACAACTTGAGAATGCTTCTGAACACCAACTTGGAGTTTGTAATGCTCCAATTACAGATCCCAAAGGTAGCAAAGGAGTGAGAGATGACAATGAGCTAACTGAAGTGGAAGCAAAGATGTAGGATGCAGCCGTGATCCAAATGGTTTTTGTGATGCTCCTGAATGGTTAGCTTCTATCATGGTTCCTTGTCATCTTTCCTTCAAAAGCATGTTTCTGTGTATAGTCTCATGGGATCACTAGTTCTATGAGCATTTTGCTGAAAGAAAAAACTAATAGCAAGTTTTCGGGATTCAGCCATTGTAAAGCATTAAACTAGAAGAATGAAATGAAAATATCCCTTCAACTTCTGCCAAAACAAATGCTGAAATTTCCTCAAACAAAATTGGAAGTAATCAATGAATAATCAAATTTCAGTGTCTAAATTACATAGCTGATTTGTGAGGTAAAAGCCTTTTTACATGAACAGATTCTCCTTCACATTGGAGTACAGCCCGTAAAGAGAATACTGCCCGAGGCTGGAAACCTCGTACCAGGAGTTGAGCGTTTCCAGGTACTTATCAGTACCCGAGAATGCCAACTGTATGTTGACCTCGCAATCAACAGATCCGCCATGGCTTCTACACTTCTTGGTTGGAATTGCACAGTCCTGTTCATTAAGGCAGCGAAACTCACCAGAGCACGAACCACACCCGAATTTCTTCCAGTACAAGTTTACAAGGGTACCCGTCTGGAACTCAAGAACCTGCAGGAGAAATATTGCATCCAGAAAAGCAAAGAGAGATCTTCAGCAAATACTACTACTACTACTACTACTACACAGGAACAAGAGACCGATCAGACTTTTCCCGTCGCGCGCGCGGTTTCACTTACCAAAGTGAAGCTGGTTATGCTCATGGTACCATCAGCCACAAGAGTTGGCACTGATCTCGCCGCAAAGTTCCTCCCAGCAAATGCTACCATGAACCCACCTGCCTTTGCCTTTAAGGGTTTCAAAATCACACAGACAGAACACAAAAAGGTATGCAATTCATTTCTCTGAATTATTCAACATTCCCATCATCTGCAGATAATCATAATAGGCATTGGGAACGATGATCAATTGATCAACGAATTGTGCAGCGTACCGGATCGAACGTGGTGCTGTTGATGGTGAGCAGCGAGAGCTGGTCGACCTGCGGCCGAAACACGGCGAGCTGGGCATGCTTGGACGCCAAGGCGAGTCGCCGGTCGCAGGGGGAGAACTGAACCTCCCCCGCGAAGAAGGAAGCGTTGGCGGCGAACGCCAGGCCGAAGGAGAAGCCGTCGGACTTCGCCACGGTGGCGTCGGAACACGGATCGAAGACAGGGTTGCTTTCGTCGGCTGCATTCGCCGTGTTCGTCGTGGACAGCAAGATAGCCAATATGGTTGTGGTGAACGCCATTCTCGTCCTCTCGAGCTCCCGCATTTTCCCCATCACGTCTAAACAGACCGCCACGAATGCAACACGTGAAAGATGATTGAAATGAATTTTGGTCCTGATGACTGATTGTACGAGACAATGGAGATCTCAAAGGGAAGGCCAAATTGACATGATTTGTTTTTTTGTTTCTGTTATGAATTCGTGGGTTTTTAGGATCGCCATGAATGGGAGAATCTGGAGATTTGAAACAAATGGAGATTGGACGAATTAGTGGTGACTGGGTGTTGGATTGGAAGGAAGACCTTTTTATTTGTTGCCTTGTTCTAAGGAGAAAGTGGGAGTTACTGTTTTTTCGGTTTTCTCGTACTTAGCTTTTTTTCCTCATTGATCGTTCACAATTTGGATATAAAGCATGGGTTGATGTTGTTTAAAGAGAGCTTGATTTGAAGTAATTATTTTACACATTAATCAATCCAATAATTGAGATTGTGTGTTTTTTTTTTAATTCAATGATATTAGCCCAATTGATTCGTAAACATATTTTTTCAAAATTTTAAACGAAAAAGGGAAAATGAAAATTCCAGAGTTAATTTTAGTACGTCAAAGTGGTTAAAGCGCGTTAAGATTCATCTTAAAAGCACGTCAAATGTGATTAAGTTAGCTCTACAAAGAGCATTCACAGCAATACAATTGCAAAATCAATTGCATATTTTCTTTCAATAGTGGTCTCGACAACTTATGCAATTCAACTCATATTAATTTCATTGAATCTACATCCATGTAATTCACTTGCAATTGCATACGTGCTTAACTATAAAAAAAAAATATTGCAGAAGCACATCATTCCCCCTTTCCAGACCTTTTTTTAGAGTATCTCGATCGTCATAAAATCAGCTCCTACTCCTCTAGGCATTACCAATACTCCTCCATCTTCGACAACCATTGCCATTAATCCTACTGAACCAACTCAAATTCAAGCTGCTTTTACTCAACCAACTCCATCTCTAGCTACTACAAAGGAGCCAAAGCTTTCTACCAAAAAAAAAGAGCCAAAGCAGTACAAAATAAGGCCTAATGCCTATGATGAGCTATAATTTGTGGAAGATCCCGGAAAAAACAAATGAGGAAGGTGAGAGTTTGTTTTGCAATAAGGTGCTTGCTATTGATAAAGAAACAATGATACTTGTGCTCTCCATAAACATACAACGATGTGTAGGGAAAAGAGGAAAGAAAGAAGGTTCTCAAACGCGGTTAAGCTTGCAACAAATGATGAAAGGATGTTATCTTTAACCAATTTGAAATTTGAGCAAGGGGAAAGTCAGAATTGCATTAGTTGGAATGATCATTAAGGATGAGTTATGTTCATAGGGTAGGTTTTAACGGATTTTGTCTTGCTGCTTGCCCAATGTTCAAGATTTATGGAAGGAAGTCTATTAGATAAGATTGTTTCAAGTTGTTGGTTAATGAGAGGGTGAAGTTGGAGGATTATTTCAAGTACCGGTGTGTTGGGAGGGTTCTCGTACTACAAATTGTTGAACGTCTGTGCAAAATCTCATTTACTTGTTTTAAATGCTCATTTTCTTGGGAATGATTGGAAACTGCACAAGAAAATCATAAGCTTTCGCCTCATTTCCAGTCACAGGGGAATTTATGTTGGGTATACAATTGTTGATTAGTTAGTGGAGTGGACTTCGAAGGACGTTTTCCTTATCACTATGGATAATGTTTAGTGCGAATGACACTGAAATAGATTATTTGAAGGATAAACTGATTGATTCTTATTATTAGTGTTAAGGATGAGACTTATTTGCATATGTGTTGGTAGCACATATAATAAATTCAATTTTCCGGGATGGGTTGGAAGAAATTGGGGTGTCGGTGATTCAGATTAGAGAAGCGGTGAGGTGGGTTCATGCCTCACCCTATGGGCTGTTTAAGTTCAATAATTGTGTGAACTTTCCATCATACAAGTCCAAGAAATTGTGTTTGAAAGTTCCCACTAGATGAAATTCCAACGATTTGATGTAGGAGGCAGTAGAGAAGTATGAGAAGGAATTTAAGACACTTTCAAATAGAGAATATCGGTTCCTGGCTAAGAAGTACAAGGGTCAACCAATTGTTCCTCCAACTAAGGCTGATTGGGAGAGTCAAGAAATTTGTGCAAGCACTGATTACTTCTATGAGCTCACCTTGCTGGTATATGAGGCATGCCTTCTCATCTCCAAGGAAGATTTGTCATGTTTTTTTTTTCAAATTCAACAAATGTAAAGGATTGAAGAGGAAAAGGCGAAGAATATGACTTCGACGATGCATGTCAAAGTAAATAAATTTTGGTACGAGAGTGAGTATGAAACTCAAGCATGAATATGCTATTTTACTTGGCTATGAGGTTTGATCCTAAACGTGAAGATGCATAATCATATGCATATGTATACACATTGAGAAAGTTATATGAAGAAACAAGAGGGGACGAGTTGGTGGAGGACTTGAATGTAGAACTTACTACTTTGTTTAAGTATTATGAAAGCATGGTGAGCCATTCAACTTCTAGAGAAGTGACTCAATTTGAAGTTGGTTAAGGTTCTTCAATGATAAAGGAGGTTGAGGTGCCTACTTTGGCAACTCCGAATGTAATAGCCACTACTTTTGATGATGATACTTCAAGGAATGAAGCTTGTGTTGAAGCAAGTGAGTTGGAGAAGTACTTGGCTCGACTTCATGAAAGAGATGTGAAGAATCCGAAATATGACGTCTTAATGTGGTGGAAGAACAATGCGATGAGGTATCCAATTTTGATTGAGATTGCCAAAGATATACTTGTTGGTACCATATCAAATGTTGCTTTAGAGAGTGTTTTTAGTATTGGATCTCGTGTGTTGGATTCTTTTAAAAGTTCTATGATACCCAAAACTGTGGGGACTCTCATATGCATCAAAGCTTGACCGGAAAATTCGACATTACCTATTGAGAATAAAGGTTTGGAGGAGCCCGAAGAATTTGAAAATGGTATCTTTCTACATTAGGATCTCTTAACTTCTTAATTCCTATCATCATTGAATCTGCCACTTAGAAGTTAGAATGGTTAATTGAATTAGAATTTGGGTACTAATTGAGTTTTGTTCTTGTTTGAACCTAACTGAGTGTAGGAGTGAGGTTCGGATGAGAGTTTGGGTCAAGAAGAAACGCGAGCGTCAAGTTCGATCGGAGAGATAGGAATGAGAGAATTGAGCGAGGACCGGAGTCCGAACTTTTAGAAAGAGAAGTAACAGTTATAGAGAGAGAATGGTGAAAAATGCGATCCCCTCACCCACCGTAGTAAATGCCGTATTTATAGGCTTCGTTGTGGTGGGTGAGTGGTTGACCCAAGTGGGGATACAAGATGTGACAATTGGGATACAATGATGTGACCACTGGCACATACTAAGGATTTTAGACCCTGTCCAGGCCATTCCCCTACCTAGGACGTGTCAGAGATTTGCCACTGGCCTTGATGTGACCACTTCCTGGGGAGGAAAGCTACGCCTCCCTCCTCTCTTGGCTTTGCCTGCGCTACGCTCTTCCTCGGCGCCTATAACTCACATCGCGCACAAACTCTTCGCGCCAGGACGTAGTTGACTACGATGAGGTGTCGCGCTCGGGGTCTTCGCGCTGCTATGTCGGAGTCCATCCAGTTGCGTCCGTTCCTTGACGCGGCCAGGCCCGAGTCACATGCCCAACAATTGCCCCCCATCAGGGGGTGTTTTGCGAACACCTCCTGTTTGGATTTTTTCCTGAATGACTCGGGCCTGTGTGGTCTCCGTGATGCTGGTTTTTTTGGGTCTATTCCGCTCGTCGCGATTGGTTGGCTCCCGCGCATGCTCGCGTTTAGGTTTTTCGGCGCGCGATACCATGAAACAGTGACGCGTTTGCTGGCGCGCGCCCGCGATTGGACTCCTCACCGCGCTTAAAATAGGGCTTGGCTCGTCGCGCGCGATGTGTGGGGCGATTATGGGTACTCCGCGCGCTCGCGCGTTCCGCTCGTGCTTCGCGTGATACCCGGTACTGCGCGAAGCATGTTTTTCTTTCCTTGCGGGTATATCTTGCCCCCCAGGCGGTGCGCGGCACTCGTGGCGTCGCCGACTAGTGCCTATGTTGGTAGGTATCCACGTGTCATTGTGTGGTTAGGTTGTTTGGGCGGGGATTTTTGAATTTCGAAAAGATTTGGTAGGATCTGACGGTTACGGATCCCTATGTTGCTTTAACCCTTCGCCTTCCGCTGGCCGACATTGGCCCCTTGCCTTCCCATTGGCCCTTTATTTTCCCTCCGACCCACTATAAGAATGGGTTGTTGTGAGAAATAAGGATTCATCTGTTTCCTCTGATTGCTGTTTCCCTCTGCTTTCACTGAGATTTGCTTCCTCTGAGATTTTTTCTCCTCCTTCTGCAACCTCGATCCTTCTCAGCTGTTGCCAAGTTTCGAGTCGACATCATGTCCGGCGTCAACAACAACAACGAGGCCGAGGTCGTGCAAGGCGAAGAAGGTAATTTCTCCCCTCTCTCGCACACTTCTTCTGACCGTTCCGGTGACGGGGACGGTGGTTCTGGGGGTTGGGATGACGGGTCTGACGGCGGACGTGACGGTGGCGACGGTGGGATTCCGGCGACGCCGTCATACGATGCCAGGTCCGGCGACGGTGTCGGAAGCTCCTCCGACGTGGGTGATATTCCCTCCGGCAGTGGGGAAGCCATGCAGCAGGCTCGGGGAGTGACGATCATCCGGCGTAATCCGGGTGGTCGACCGGTAGGGGCCGATGAAGTCATCGACGATGAGGTCACCGACGATGAAGTCGTCGATGATGAGGCCGCGGATGAGATGGCGCAAGGAGATATTGATGCGCAATTCGCGCCGCGCGCCATTGAGCGCGTTTCCGAAGCATTTGCCCGTCTGGGGCCGCAAGGCGTCGGCGCGACCTACCGTGTGATCGAGTGGGCCGAGATGTGGGGCGATCAGCCGGCGCCCTCGGACAACCTTAAGCGCGGACCCGAGCACTCCTCAACATACGACGTGGACGACGTGGAGGAGTTGGTCCGCGGGCTGGGCTTGCCCCCCCATTGGGAGTACGCTGCCCCGTCGGTGCGCAGCATGGTGGGCAACTGCCCCCCTGGTTGGTTCGGCGTGTACACGGAATACTGGGTGATGGGGTTCAAGTTCCCCATCGATCCGCTGTTGTGCGCGATCTATGAGCGCCTCAAGTGTTCCGTCGGGCGGCTCTCTCCTTCAGTCATCATGCACGCGAGCTGCCTCCGTCTCGCGTGCAAAAGGCTCAACATCGAGCCTACGTATGGCTTGTTCAGGAAGATGTACAAAATCAAGGAGCCCACCAGGGTGAGCGACTGTTTTTCCATCCAGCGGCGCGACCACCGCCCCGAGGGTTTTGTGTATGGCTCGCCCAAGC